CAAACTCACTATAACTACTATATGTTCTAAAATTTTATTCAGATACATTTTCCTCTAGGCAATACTATAGCATGTTTCCTTCAAGTTTAGCAATTTACTATTTCCTTTATGGTATTTTACGATTTCCTTTTTGAAGTTTGACAGTAATTTTATCTTCTCTTTTTCCTTCCTCTCTTTACCCCTCCTTATTTATTTATATCTTCTTATATCAGTGCTGGACTTTGCTTCTGAGTTTATAAGAAAAAGAAGTTAATTAAGTTAAGTCTTGTTCTTGTCTTACAGTCAATGAGTAAAAGACTAAAATTCTATCTACCTCTTTCGACTCATATCAATGTCTCTATTCAGAAATTTCCCCCTAAATTGTCAAAGACAAACACTGGTTTTTCTCTTTAGTGCTGTGATTACCTCTAAGATGGGCCACTGGGCTTAGGAAGGTGCACCACACACTTAGACAAGGTCAGGTGTTATGGAAATGCTTACGTGTCCAGTATTTTTAAATTATCAATTTTTTGCCTTTTAAAAATTTTTTATCTTTTTATATTAATTTGTAATTAGGTTTTATAATTAGGGGTTAGGGAGAGGGCTCAGTGGAATAAGCACTTCCCTGGCAAACACAAGGGCCTGAGTTCAATCCTCAGTTCCACCAAAAAAAAAAGAAAAAAAAAGAGTTAAGGCAGATGTCATTTTCATCTTAAATGAAAGAATAATTACCATAGCCTTACAAAGCATCCAATTACAGCATGTCAGAATGCCCTTTGCAATATGAATAGAGAATTCTTACTTAACTTGCCTGTTAGGACTCAATACTGATTAGTAATAAGGACACTTGGATGCTAATTTAAAAACTGATTTAGGACCTTCCCTCCCTATGTAGCTTCTGGTCTGAGCCCGTTGGCGCATTTATCCACTTATCTTGGTCTCCTCTCAGGGTTCCTCAGATGATGCACAGAGTAGAAGACCAATTACTATTTGTTAAGTAAATGTATGAAGTGTCAGTGCTGACTCAGCAGCATAATAACGTGTGCTTTGGGGTAGTTTCCTGTAATTTCCCCAATTCTGTATTACTGCTGAGAACAAGGTACTGCTGTATTGGAAAGATCATGGTATTGAATTATAGTATACTCAGTGAGTATCAGTCCAGTTTCCTCTTCACTAATTCAAGTTACAATCACATTTGTCAGGGGACTAGCTAAGGTGCTGCTATTCTCACATAGCTGTACAACTAAACACTTAAACATGTAACACAGGTGTGGTTTTTTTTGGCAGAACCGGGGATTGAACTCAGGCCCTTGCGCTTGCCAGGCAAATGCTTATTCTACTGAGCTATCTCCCTAGGTCCCTGGATCACAGGTCTTAAGCTTAGGGATTTAAACACTGTTTTATCTCCTCTGTAACAGCAGATAACCAAATTACAGACTTTTCCAGAAATATTGTGGTAGAGCAGTTAAATGTATGAGTTTGAAGTTACCCCATATGGAGTGATAACCAAATTCTAGCTCTCATATTCATTAGCTTTGTGATGATGAACATGTTAATTCGCTTCCTGTTCCTCAGCATGCTCATATATTGATGGAAATAATTTCATCGTTAAGAGATGTTATAGACTGTTGAGTGCTTAAAATAGTATCTGATACACACTAAGTGTCCAGTTACTATTATTGTGAGCTATGGATTTACATTGGAAAGTGTATAAAGCCTTTAGTATATAGATCAGTGATGACAAACACTTTAGAGCTCTCAATGATAAAGCACACTGGGCACGAGTGCCTCAGGTTCAGCATCACTGATATAGATCCTAGCATGTAGGTAATCACAAATACCGGCACTATTATTGGTAGTAACAAACTACTATACTTTGAAATAATTTGGATTTGTGGGGTACATTTTGAGGAACCTCAATGAAATGAATACTATTTTACAGACAAAAAAGCTTCTTCAAAATCAGTTATACTATTTTTTTTTAAATGAAAGACAAAGGAGAGGATACCAACACAGTAGCTACTACTTCTTTTGATGTTATCATGTTGGCACAGCAATAAGGCATTTATTCATTATTATTTTGACTTACAAGATAAGATACAATAAAGTGTCCCATGAATTCCAATTCATATTTAAAACGAAAAACTTCATGAAAATGAAGTATGACTACATTTGTTTTTCTGTAGATAAAATCATGCATTTATATGTTATTGTTTTAGAATTAAATGTTACGGATCATTTCTAGACCTCTTCATCTTCCATTTAAAATCCATATTCCATTCCAGGAAAATTTATCATGAAGGCATGGAATGAATATGTTGGTGAACTCTGTGTGTGTGTGTGTATTTATTTGTGGATACCAGTATCTTATTTTGAATAATGATCTCCTGGGTAATACTTTGTTTTAAAAGAATAAACACCCACTGGGGCCTGGGAGATGGCTCAGTGGAATAAGTGCTTCCCTGGCAAGCACAAGGGTCTGATTTCAATCATCGGTTCCACCAAAAAAAATAAATAATACAATAAATAAATAAACACCCACTGAATATTTTAGTTTACTTTGTGTGAATATTGAAGTTTTCCTTTGTTGAACTTGTTGTAGGCAGCTAAATTAGATAGAAATATTGTAGGCAGTCAGGGCCAGGCCCTCAAGGAGACAGCACAGATGACAAGATACCTTGCAACTATCAGAGAACAGATGTTCCTGCTGTGGGACATGAAGACCTAAAGACCAAAGATCAAACAAACGCTGACCTCCCTAAAGATAAGCATCCAGGATCGATCCTTGATGAAGCCAGGAAGAGTCACTAATCCAACCACTATTGGCTGGCTACTGGATAAACTCCTGTTCTATATTCATGCCCACTTGCTACATGACTCGCTTCCCCATTCGGTCCTGAATTTTATCACTTTTACCTGAGCAATGGGGCTTGTAATCTCATTGGTTGACCATAATTTTGTCCTGCCCCATTACCACCTAAGATAGACCCACATGGTTTTACTCTATAAAAATCCCTGGAAGAGACAGCTTCCAGGGGCAACCTGCTCTGGTCCCCCATTGTTCTGTCTCAGACAGAAGCTTTCTTTTCCCCAGTAAATATTTTGCTCTTAACCTCTCTTTGTTCTTGAAGTTCATTCTTCGGTTTTATAGAACATAAATTCATCCCAGGTACCTTTCTGGTCATGAGTTTCATTCCCCTATATCAAAATGACACAGTTATAATACAGATGGAATGATTCCTTACAGAAAGACACTGTATAGTCATGGTATCTGAAAATAATTTTCAATATTTTCCTTGTATGCTCCCTGGAAAGAAGAATATAAATACATTTACTGGGAAGCAACAGAAGTCTTTTTTAAAAAAAATTTTATTTATTTATTTGTGTGTGTGTGTGTGGCCAGCTCAGCCCACCAGGGGGCGGGGCTGGCTGGCATGTGGTGCTGGGGGATTGAACCGCGGTCCCTCTGCTTTGCTAAGCTTGTTCTAAGTAGGTGCTTTACACCACTGAGCCATCTCACCAGCCTCAGAAGTCTTAAAATATTGAAATTTGTTGTTAGAGTGACATGGAGACAGCTTCTAGGCTGTCTCTTGTCTTTAAATGTTTCCTATGTGCATATCTTTATTTCTCATGCTTTCCTTTTCTATAATACCTCTTTTTCTTTTCCTTCTTTTATTCTTGATTTGCTGTTGATTTTTTCTTTCTTTCTTTTTTTTTTTTTTTTCCTTCAGCCCCAGAGATTCAATCTGTGGCGTTTTCAGTTAGGTACATCTCCACACATTTTTTACTTTTTACTTTGAGACCTGGTCTTTACTAAGTCGCTGTTACCCAGGCTGGGCTTGAATTAGACATCCTTGTGTCTCAGCTTTTCAGAGTGCTGGGATTATAGGCATGCACCACCATACACAACTCACACTTTATAAAAAAAACCTCTTCAGAATTCCTTTAACAGTAAAAATTAAAATAGATCTGTGGCCTTATTGGTCTTAGTGCTACTGTAATTGCTAGTATTTATGTAGCACACTGGCATCTCTCTTCTTGTCAGACAGCCTCCGTATACTACTGGCTGGAACTGCTAGACGAGGCAAATATGTACTCTACACAGTAAGTTGGACCACTCCTTTGCGTGGGTACCAACAGTTTTTGTACGGAGTAGTTGGCAACAAAAATGCAGAATTGGAGGCAATCTGACTATGGCAGCTGTGTACATCCGCTGGCACCAAGCTGACTTCTTTGGGCATTTACTCCGTAGTCGTTTGATTCCTTACCTTAAGGCCGGAGGTGGGAAAAGGTTACTGGTGCAACAAGCTGTTAGGAGGGGATATAGCTCAGTGGTAGAGGGCTTGCCTAGCATGCACGAGGAAGGCCCTCAGTTCAATCCTCAGTACCACCAAAAGAAAAAAAAAAAGAAAAGCTATTATGAGGGTCAAAAATGGGTCCTGTTTAAACAGCCGGTGAAGACAAGTAGAAATTTTAGGGGCTGTAAGAACATGAAGGTGATGAGCGGAGGGAAAAAACCTGAGGGCTCACCTCAGTTAAAGGATTACCAATACTTTGGACCTCTGCAGCGAAATTTCCGTCAACAGAAGGCCACCTGGGCGACTGAAGTAGGGAATCGCGCGAAAGAGCGCGCCCCGCGCTTGTCCACCCCTGCCGGGCAGCGCCGCGACCCCGCCCCGCGACGTGGGTGGGCGGCGGGGCGGCACTCCCGGCTGTCACTCAGCGGCTCGGCGGTCTCCGCCCCCGGCCCGGCA